ATAAAAGACCTCAGCTTTGGGAGCTGGGGATGACGGTTAAAGTCCTTCTCTTTTGATATTCTAGGAAGGGAGCCAGGACCTGCTCATGCACAGGGGGAGGGGGGTAAGAGCAGGGCTGGGAGCCAGGAACACCTGGGCTGTAATGGCACCTCTGCCATAGCCTGGTCCAGCTCAGGGAATTTCACCTGTTTTCCCGAAGTCCCCTGCTGCAGTCATGGCCTATGGGGTTGTACGGGGGCGGAGAGCAGCCCTGAACTGCCTGCCCCGTGGTTCTGTCTGGCCCGAGGGCCCTGGCGCTGACAACAGCCTGGGGGTGCTCCTGCACCTGCTGCTACCTCACCCTAACCCCAGTGTCGAGGCAGCGTACCCCAATGGCAAAGGGGGGGTGTCGCCCGCTGTGGCGGCTAACAGCCCACTATTGCTGCCAGCGAGCGGTGCTGCTCCCTTAGCTCGAGCAGAAGGGGAGTGTCCTTTGGCCTGACAGGTTTGCACCCCGTTGGTGAGCGCTGGCCTGGCTCCTTATGCCATGTTCTTGGAGATGCTGCCCCATGTCCCCCAGGCGATGGTGTCTGGGGCCCCAGCTGTTGCATCGGTCAGATCTGTCCCAGTCCCCGCCCCAGGAATTCTGGTTCAGAGACGGATCACCCGCTCCGAGCTGCTGGGTCCAGCCTCGCCCAGCTCCGCTCCCGTGTTCTGCACCAGGGAGAAGTTAAACTGAAGGCGAGTCCTCTCCGCCCACAGCTCTAGAGTCAGCCAAGGCGGCTCCACACGGACCTTATCCTGCTCTGGCCACATCCCCGCTGCCGTGCTCCTTGTTTGCCCCTGTGGGGCCCATCCCCGCTGGAGGAACGGGGCTAGAAAGGCCATGCGACCAGTGCAGCTACAATAAGCTAGGCCAAAGATCCCCAATTAAGGAGGCTGAAAACCAGCTTCTTGTTTAGTGGATTAGGTGGGATAACAGGACCTCTCAGCGGGGGATTAGCTGAACTGCTCCTCTGGGGAGAAGGGCAGACGCTGCCAGAGGTTTTGCGGCTTGGGGAGATTGCGTCTCAATCTGGTGTCTACTCAGGGCGGGGCAGATTATGAGCTGACCCAGCCGTATCAGCTGGGAGTCTGGAACACGTTAGCAGGCTTGGCACGGCGTGGGGGGATCTCCCCCGGCGGCTGGAGCAGAGCGCGGGGCTCTCATGCCGCGCACACTCGTCGCAGCAGGGAAGCAAGCGTCACAGTGCAGGCAGCGTGGCCCTGTGCCGTGCGCCTCACTTTAAGGACTGAGCACCCCTGGGCCTGGCCCCAGTGCAGTATGGCGCACCGGGCTGGGGGTGTCAGGGGAAGGGGTGCGGCAAATTAATCTGGACCCCTTTCACTGCAGCATTCGGGGGGTCTCCTCTTCCTCCTCTCTCCCCATCGCACCAGCACCTTCCCTGGCTCTCAGCTTCCCTCTCTGGTCCGTCCTCTCCCGGCCCAGCTTCTGCTCCGTCTCAGAACGGGCCGCAGTTGTGCTGAGCTGTGCTTGTGGGGCTCTGAGAACAGGCACTGCCCAGCGGTGCCAGGCCCTGGGACGTGTCCAGAGGGACTTTAACCCCCAGCTCTACGGCTGGTGCTGCATGCTAGGGAGGGGGGTAGAGGGGTTCACCTCAGCCGTCCAGTGGGGTTTGTGGATCCTGAGTAGGTCTCCCCAGGGGCTGGGAGCCAGGCCTCCTGGCTTCTCTCTGCCACTAACTGCCCTCTGTCCGGCCAAGCCCTTAGGGCCAGCGGGAATTCCTGCCTGAGGCTGCCATGGGTGCAGGGAAGGGGCTAGGCTCGGGGGCCGGTGCGCACTCTCTCCCCCGGCCCCTAGCTGTGCCAGCGCTGGCCAGGCGAAAGCAGAGGGCTTGGCTGCAGAAAGGGTCACAAGAGAGTCTTTATTCGGGGCAGGAAACGGACCCGATGGATGCGAGCGGCACCAGGGCTGCAATGCAAGGCACGGTGGGGCAGGGACAGGGGCGGGTGCAACGCAGGACACGGCACAAGGACAGCGGCTGCAAATAGGAACTTTCTCCACCCCACCCCCCCACCTTCCTCGCGCTAGTGCAGCTGCTGCCCGTGGTAGGAGGCCCCATTGGCTGTGCCAGTGGTGAACTCGCCCTTCTCTGGGCAGAGAGCAGCCAGCCGGCACAGGCAGGGCTCTCGGGACCGTGCTGAGCTGGGCCCAGTCTGACCGGGAGGGGAGGAGCCGGGGGAAGGGAATGGATACAGGAGGCCCAAGGCTCGGAGCCAGGTTGGGTCTGGTTTTTCTTCAGTCTTTCTGCTCCAGTCCCGGTCTGGCTGGCCCTGACGCTCTGTCGGGGTGGGAGGCCGGAGGGAGAGCGGCACCATCTCCAATGCGCCTGCTGCTGGTCGTGTGCTGGGGAGGTTAAGCTGCAGTGGGGCGGTTGTTATTTCTCAAGCCCTCCCTTCCCTCTTGCCCTGGCCCAGAACTGCCTCCTACCGCTCTGGGCCTGGTATGCAGCTGGGTACCCACCCCTGCTCTCCCCTCCCCGCCAGGCCAGGTGTGGCAGCCCCTTCCCCTCCAAACTGGGCTCTAGGCGACAGAACACACAGGACAAGCACAGTGCTGCATGGGCGGCCGGCGGTGGCCTCCGCGGGGGGCTGCCCCCAAAGCAGGCAGCCTGGTGCCAGGAAGTGGGGCGCTCCTTCTCCTCTGCCTCCTGCCTTACTTCTTCTTGGGGATCTTCTCCTTTGTGACCAGGTCGGAGAACTCTGCAGGGAGACGGGGGAGAGGAGCAGTGGGTGCTGGGCCAGGC